CCCCAAAACCCCAAAACCCCAAAACCCCAAAACCCCTCATTCACCTCAAAATATATAAAAATCCCAAAATGGAGAACCCAAAATCCGCTTCCACCTCCCAAACCGAGCACAAAAAGCCACCTAAAACCATAAAGCAACGCTCAAAAGAGCATCGAGCCAGGAAGAAAAAATTCATCGAGGACACTCTTCACCAATGAAACCTCCTTAAGGACCAAGTTGCTCAACTTCAGCAAGAAAATACTCAACTGAGGGAAAAGTTAGCACTAAGAGAAAAAGAACCAGAAGAGGTTAAGCAGGAGCCGAAGAAGAGATTTGAGCATTCTCTGCATGAATATGAAGATTATGTGTATAATAGTCTTTCGAAGAAGATATTGGAGGATCCGAAGGAGGTCAGGTACTCTGAACTAGAGCAAGCTACTGAGCATGTGTGGGACTGGAGGTAGGGGAGTAGGTGATGGTTTAGTGATGATAGAGTTGATTATGTTAAGACGTTGTTTAATAGTAAGCCATGTTTGAGAGTTTAGAAATTCTTGAGAATATGATAGGGCTTGGGTCGAAGTGATACTTTGCCTGACATAATGTTATACCTATTAAATAATTGGTATGGAAAATCAAAGGTGAAGAAAAGAGGGAGGAAATATTTCGACAAAAACTCTGAAATCTCTAAAATCCAGTCACTATTCCCAAAAATGGAGATCACTGCTAACGCTAAAGAAGCCTTCACCAGCTTCAACAAAGAGCTGACTCAGCAACACAGGAAGTTAAGAAAGATGTAAATGTTCCTTTAACAAATAGAGCTCGTGGACTGGTCAGACACAGGAATAGTCTCCTAAACCTGTACCAAGACATGAAGACCTTTATGGAAACCACCAATTACCTCGAATGGTACAACAAAATAGACGTATCCAATGATTGCCAAATCTTCAACACAATCAGATCCACCAGCCTCATAAGCACGCACAACTTCTACAAAATCCCTAAGAAAGCTCCCGACCAAACAACTTATCAAGACTGTGAACTTACTGAATAAATTTGGATTAATCGCTCATTTTAGGTTCAAATTAACAGGATTGGGAAGGGGTTTTGGGGTTTTGGGGTTTTGGGG